AATCATTCAAACACATACGCCTTTAACGGACACAGAAACATCTACACACACTTCTAAAACTTTAAAGGATTACGATTCCTCCTGTAACAAATTAACATCGAGCGTGAATCTGGCAGTAGACAAATCATTCTGTCCATGTGCGTATTCGCGTGTGTACGCAGGCATTAGTGCTTCCATGCTACTGTGTGCGTGTGTGTGTGTGATATCCATGCCAGAATATTGGGAAACAAAGACGTATTGTCTCTCTTGTAAATTTATATGCAGCCAATTTATCATATATGGAGCTATGTGTGTAAGTGCATTTATGTGTGTGTGTGTGTGTGTGTGTGTGTGTGTGTGTGTGTGTGTGTGTGTGTATCTGTGTGAGGGACAAGCTAAGGGAATATGTTAAACTGTAGATAAATTAGGTTACCTCCACATAGACCATTTCGCCTCGACTAAGTGAAATAAAGTAGGGATACAAATTGGCTGTGTGCACTTTGACCACTGAGTTCATTGTGTTGTGCCAAGATTCAACAGGCATTTGCATGAGGCCAGTATTACTCAACAGGCAATTGAATCAGCCATTAAAGACACTTTTTTGCACAAGTGTGCTTCTTTGTCATCATCTGAAAATCAAACCTCAGCTGCCTGATCTGTCTAGCTTCACACCAACTTCTACTCTCAGTATAGGCCTATGTTGTCAAAATTGATGTCACTGCAAAAAATTTGCCAAATTTAAGAGGTTAATATGTCTGTGTTTTCAATACTACAATTGGTCCAGAAGTGTTTAGCCTGGGTTAGTACATAGACTAGCACAGAGGGAATCGACTAGTCTAACTCAGCCAACTCTAACTAGCCAACACATTACTTTAAGCATAAGCTTGGTCATTAGAACTGACCATACAAAACCTTGTAGATTTTATGTTTAAAAAATATATAGTCATAAGGTTTTCCAGTGTTAACTAATTTTGTTAGCTACAGTAATTCATATTGTCACTCTATCCATGTTAGGGTTATTAATATTCTGACTTTGCTTGTCAGCATTAAAGCTGTTAGCCGCTGGTTCACTTTTGTGTTCTTTTTAGCATTTAGCGTAAAGCTAATTGCAGCTCACATTACTTGTATAAATCTGACTGATGGACTCTTGTGCACTTTGTGTTTCACAGTATTAACTTAATAGACAGCTGTAGATTTGTAGCTATATGCAATGACATTGTGTGTGTGGAGTGTGTCTGTGTTTGTCTTTCAGACTCCAGTTGTTTCTCTTACTTTTCTTCGGGCTCTCTTCTTTTCCCTATTTGCGTGTTTATAACATTCATTTTGCTCCAAGTTCAAACATTTTCAATTACCGTGGATGTCATCCTCGGTGTACGCTGTCTTGTCTCCTGTATTTGTTCCCGTCTCTCCACTGACTTAATGTCACTTTGAAAATGTAATTCCCATCCAGTCAGGACACACTTTTCAAGGTGTTTTTGTTTTTTGTCTTTAATTTTAGTGTTTTAATTGAGTGGTTTTACTGTGTAAGAGCAGCCGGTAGCACTGGCTTGAAGTGAACCATGTAAGTGCGTGACTCTATCATCCACTGTGGACCTATATAAGTCTACACACTCACTGCTGACTGTATACTGTTTTGCAAGAGAGGTTTAAAATATCCTCCTCACCGCTCTAATGGATTTGTAGAGGAGGAAGCAGCTATAAGAGTACTTCACGCTGATACTGGGGAAGGATACATGCATATACGTATATACGTACACGCACTGTTGAGATCACACTGGTGTAAACAGCTTCCATTTTTAACTCTGTGTCTGCCTGTCTGTCTCTGACTCTCCTCTAAAAATACTGATAAAAATTGACATACAACCTCTGTGTCTGGTAAACACACATACACCCATCTGCACAGTCATGGTTAAAAAAACCAAGTAAAGAGATTAAAATAAAATGAAACAAAGTGCAATTAATAACTTACAATAATTAATACAATGTTTTGCGGCCTTAACTAATATGTATAAGCAGCTTTAGTACAATATTCTACCTTCAAACCATATCTTCATTATATCACCTTCTACGTGACTGCATTACCTAATAAAAATCACCCTTAAGACTTCTCTGTACATTCAAATTCACATTTGCTCTAATTAAATAGTCGGCTAATAATGAAGACATGCCACCCATTTCTGAACTGCTGATTAGCGGTCAATAATACGCACTCACACTGTACTAAAAATATTATTGCAATTGAATTTTCTTAATATGGCTCAACAACCCCGGTGCCCTCAGAACTGGTGAGCAAAGAGTTTGAAATGCCTTGCAGTTTTTTGATTATCACACTGCACACAGACACCTGGCATTAAAATGTATCTGGGAAATCTTTTTCCATCAACACACTTGTGTATTAAGAGGTCCATTGAGAGAAATGATTTTTGGCAGAGCTAGCCTTAATATGAAGAGCACGTTAAGTTGAAGAGGGCTCCACTAGTAAATTTATTTATGGCCTGAATGGTTGTATTAATTTGAACTATAATCGAGATATTTGAAGATGAAAGGAAAACTTTCATAAAATATACTAGCTATTTCTTACCAGAGCACTGAGAGCAAATCTGAGCCACTTTAAATGTAAAAATACTGCCATGTTGCCACTCATTGAATTACTGCTTTTTCAGCCTTTTGGCTCTGATTTCTCCTCCTTCACTTGCTGCTATACACACCACCTCCCTTATCGTCTGTGTCTGCTGGCCTCTTAACTCCAACAATATGTGGCCACAATCTGCTTCCAGTTTGACAGTCTCATTTAGCCTCAGGGGTACACAAGCTAAACTGACGTAGTGGGCGGTGAGGCTGCCCTTTTGAATGTTTTCCTCAGTAATGACATTTCATATCAAAATAAATCCTGTGTTGAATTAAGGGTCCCGGGAGTGATGGTGGTGGAGATGAATAAGTAAAGCTGGGAGCTTTGTTAACTGGTGCTAACTGGAGATTTTTTTTCCTCTGTGTGAGCAAATGTAATTCGTTTAACTTGTAAAAAAAAACAACCGCGTTTAGAGGGTGGTGGGGGTTCAGGTCCCACTCCGGGACTTTACATAAACTGACATTTTGGATCTGTGTAGCTTGTGCCCGCAGGCCTCTTTCTTTTACAAGTCATCAGTCCATGTTTCTGACTAATGTTCCTTCTCCCTTTCCAATGCAGCTGAAATAAAACCACTTCAGGTGGCTTTTACCGAATTGTGAAGATGGCAAATGCATATATTATACAAGATAAGGTTTATTTTAAATGAATTAAGCTTGGCGGTGTAAATGAAATGGAGAAGTTTTGTAGTGGCCTTGTGTCTGTTTGATCACTGACCTAACACTGTGGTCTGTATTAATCACTTCGACACTGTGAGAGCTCCACCTGTCTCCGCTGTTGTCTCTGCTCTGCTACTGCTACCTGGATGCTCATGTTAACACAGACTGCGACATTCAGAAACAAATCAGCCATGTATCACTGGCTGCTTTTCATAATCAGCTGCTTTGACTGCTACAATCTCACCCGTAGCAGTATATCTAAAATCACAAATGAATGGCTGAGGATCAGTTGGTTAGTTAGCCAGCAATAAAGTTTATCTAATACAGACAGCCTACATTCTCAACATGTATCTACAGTACACTGCATAACCCTTTTCTCCATCCCCCTCTTTTCAGGAGGAGGTAAAATTGTAGCTTGATACTAATAAGGGAAAAAAAACATTAAGCTAACAATAATTACATGTAGATTTTAACTAGTGGTGCAAGAGTCACTCACATAAGCTGTCAAACTGCCAGTGCAAGTCAAACCTCAAACAAAAACTGTAGAAAACATGATCTGTTTTACATATTCACTGAGGAAGGTTACAGTCTCCTCCACACAGATCTGATATTTCCGTCTCATCTGTGGAAGCTTCAGTGGATGTTTAAGCCACACTTCATGTAAGGCGTTATTTATTCACTGAGTCTGTTTCCATTGCACTTTGTGTTGTTTTTACCGATACATCAACTTTCCTACCAAGAAGAATAAAACTTTTTTTTTTTTGCATTTCAAAAGGTTTTTTTATGCGCAGATTGAAAATGTGCATAAAAGCAAGAGGATGGAAACACATTTGGTGATGCTAATGTCACTTTAACTGCATTGAAGTTGTGAGTGAAGCTCTATAACTCTACAACTGCACTAGGCTGTTGCATTGTTCTTCAGCTGGAATGAACCCTGTCCAGACAGGGGGTTTCTGTTTACCGACAGAGTTAGATACAGAGAAAAAAAAATACAAAAAAGGAATTTTTGTTTCTAGATTAATACAGAAATGATGACAAAAATATTTAATGCAAACATTTTTAACATTATATATTTAAGTTTCTACCTCTCTTTTCCCATTTATTACAAATTTCCTGATATATAGGTCTCGCTTAATCTCTTTCTCTGTCTTTATCTCTCTCCCTCTCACACACCCGAGGGAGGGACAAATGTGACCTTAATATTTTCATCTCTTTTCTCTGCCCAAGATTTATATGCCAAAATAACACATCGCTGGGTGTCAAAATGACCTTAGGTTTTGCAGAGAATGTGTCTTTAAGTGGTTCGGTGTGTGTGCACGTGTGCATGTGTGTGCGTGTGTGTGCGTGCATGTGTGTGTGCGCACACAGTTTGGCACCAAAGGAACACCTACCACCTAAGGCTCTTTTTTCTGTCACTCACTCCCTTTCTTTCCATTTTTTCCTTCAATCAATGTCTTCACACCTTTCACTCTCTCTCTGCCTCTCTTCCTCTTTCTTTCTGGTTCTTTACTGCGTTCCATCTATTCTTCCCCTCCCAAACTTTGTCTTTTTGTCCCGCACTCTCTCTCATCTCTCTCAGCTGGAGAAATAGTCACAGCTCTCTCTTTTTTTGGCTCTCTCTCTATTACCAGTGGGGAGTTAAACTCAGTTCACAGTTTTCTGTGATGTCTGACTCTTATTCCCTTCTCATAGCTGGAGGCAGCATTTCAACACATTGCCATGATGTAGTGCCTGTGTGTGTGTGTGTGTGTGTGTGTGTGTGTGTGTGTTGGCATTCATCACGTCCTGGGGACAACAAACTGTTTACACAGTCACGTCATGGGGACCTCTAACAGTATGGGGACGAAAAATGAGGTCCCCTAAAGGGAAACTCTTTTAAATGAATGCAGGAGTCTATCTGAAGGTGCCTGTGTGGTTTTTAGCTTTGGCCCATTGGGCATGTTTTCCAGTTAGTGTGTGTGTGTGAACGGGGCATGCTTGCGCCCCCTTACTGTATGAGCTGGTAAGGCACTCACCGTTCCACACACACAGATCTTCCAAATATGGTATGTTACCGCCCACTTCCTGGTCCCCATTAAGAAGGATTTTAGGAGCAAACACAATTTTCAGTGTTTAAAGGGAGCATCGCAAAGGCCCTTCAATTAAAGATGTTTGTCACATAAAAAGAGGAACAACAACACCACAAGGTAAGCAATATTATCTTATTTACTTACTTGCTATAATCATTATTTGTATAGATGACCATTTTAAACCACTAATGAGGTTAATTAGTGTTAATTAGTTAGTAGGATAGCTAGTTAGCTTTAATTAGCAACAGAAGGCTAGTGTAACTAGCAAATTTACAATGTTTTACTAACAATGTTTTTAGCTTTCCCTGAAAGCTACTGTTAGTTGTTACATGATGGATGGATTATGTGCATTTCTAGGAGTTTATACCAACTAAAAAAAGTGAAATATTTTTCAGTGTGTAACAGAGAAATTTAAAATACATTTCCAGGTAATGAATTTAGTAATATATAGAGGTGTAACTTAATCCTAGGTATATATAGGTGAGATATATTATAGAAAAATTGTAAAGAGATGTTTTGATGATTTAAAGCAAGCTGTCCATGTTAAGAGAAAGTGCATCTGGACAGGTATTTTTGGGACCTGAGCTTGACAAGGCTGCAATTTGATGTTTGTATCTTTAAAGTGACTAGTGAAGTGATTCCACATGCCTCCTCTACATAAATGGGTCCTGATTGATTTTACTACCAGAAAAAAAGTAAACTTAGCTTACTTATAATTATTAATATTAATTTATTATTAAAAATTAATAATTTAGAATAGGGCATGGCAAGAAGGGAAGGCATCTGACACTGAGCCGACAGGAAAGGGCGAGTATGGGGCAAAAAGTTATAGAGCTAAGCCTCTGAACACCCACACAGTTTTTTCAGTTTATCTTGCTGATTATTAGTCTTCTTGGGACTGTATGGGTGTGTATACTGTGATTGATTGACATCTTCCTGAGTCTTCTGTCAGCTTTGTTACACCTGTTAGGGCAGGACAAAATATACCTTCACCATTCGTATTGGAGATTTAGATTTGTGACCTCATGGAGTTTCATCAAAGCTTAAGCCCACCCTAAACCTGAGCAGAGGTCTAATCAGCCATAATAACTGAAAACACCTGTGTGGATGTTCACTTAGAGCCTCTAATTGTATTGTAATAGAACTAAAGCCAAAGCTGTCTCATTAAACATTTCTCTGCAGTTTTAAATGCCACCAAGGTCAGTCCTCTTAAGGATGCCCTTCAGCATGTTCACTTCATATACATATTGAAAATGATTTTGAGACATTTAATTGCAAAACTTCAGGATGCATTAGATAAGCTTAGGTCAATAAAGCTGCCATCAAATGCACTAATAATTTGGAATTGTGTTTTTAGGACATATTGCCACAGACTAATTAACATTCGTAATGTCCTGTTTTTTTTGAAAATGTATTACTTTGTCTTACAGGACGTGGTGTATTTGCCCTATCTTCATTCTTCAAAGGAGATTTTGTACTGGAATACAGAGGAGACATGATAGATGATGCAGAATCTCAAAGGAGAAGGTGCATGTATCACTCATCATGTGTTGCATTCATGCTTCATTCAAGTGGAGAGGGAGAACATGGTGGTAAGATTTTACATTACACCTAAACTATACTCCTTATGCTAAACCATAATAATCTCCTTACAGCTCATAGTTAAAATGAAGGCACTGATTGTGTTGTATACAGTTGAAACCAGAAGTTTACATACACTATAAAAAGACGCATACGCTTTTTTTTCTCACTGTCGGACATGAAATCAGACTTTTCCTGTTTTAGGTCTGTTAGGATTACCAAAATTATTTCTATCTGCTAAATGCCAGAATAATGAGAGAAGGATTTTTTTAGACAATCTTTTATTACTTTCTTCAAAGTCAGAAGTTTACATACACTAAGAATACTATGCCTTTAAACAATTTGGGAAAGCCCAGATGATGATGTCATGTCTTTGGAAGCTTCTGATAGGTTTATTGACAACATATGAGTTAATTAGAGACACACACCTGTGGATGTATTGTAAGGCACACCTGAAACGCACTGCTTCTTTGTGTAACATCATGGGAAAGTCTAAAGAAATCAGCCAAGATATCAGGAAGAGAATTGTGGACTTGCACAAGTCTGGTTCATCCTTGGGTGCAATTTCCAGATGCCTGAAGGTGCCATGTTCATCTGTTCAAACAATTATACGCAAGTATAAACACCATGGGAATGTCCAGCCATCATACCGCTCAGGAGACGGGTTCTGTGTCCCAGAGTTGAACGTGCTTTGGTCCGAAATGTGTATATCAACCAACAGATGATGCTGCCATCCCTCTATTTCACAGTTGGGATGGTGTTCTCAGGCTTGCAAGCTTCCCCCTTTTTCCTCCAAACTTAACGATGGTCATTATGGCCAAACAGTTTGATTTTAGTTTCGTCAGACCACAGGACATGTCTCCAAAAACTAAGGTCTTTGTCCCTGTGTGCATTTGCAAACTGTAATCTGGCTTTCCTATGTGTCTTTTGGAGTAATGGCTTCTTCCTGACAGAGTGACCTTTCAGCCCATGTCGGTACAGTACTAGTTTCACTGTGGATAAAGACACACTCTTACCAGCTTCAGCCAGCATCTTCACAAGGTCTTTTGCTTTTGTTCTTGGGTTGATATGCACATTTCGGACCAAAGCACGTTCAACTCTGGGACACAGAACCTGTCTCCTTCCTGAGTGGTATGATGGCTAGACACTGCCATGGTGTTTATACTTGCGTATAATTATTTGAACAGATGAACGTGGCACCTTCAGGCATCTGGAAATTGCACCCAAGGATGAACCAGACTTGTGCAAGTCCACAATTCTCTTCCTGATATCTTGGCTGATTTCTTTAGACTTTCCCATGATGTTACACAAAGAAGCAGTGCGTTTCAGGTGTGCCTTACAATACATCCACAGGTGTGTGTCTCTAATTAACTCAAATGTTGTCAATAAACCTATCAGAAGCTTCCAAAGACATGACATCATCATCTGGGCTTTCCCAAATTGTTTAAAGGCATAGTATTCTTAGTGTATGTAAACTTCTGACTTTGAAGAAAGTAATAAAAAAATGTTCTAAAAAAATCCTTCTCTCATTATTCTGGCATTTAGCAAATAGAAATAATTTTGGTAATCCTAACGGACCTAAAACAGGAAAAGTGATTGTCTAATTTCATGTCAGACAGTGAGGAAAAAAAAGCATATGTGTCTTTTTATACAGTGTATGTAAACTTCTGGTTTCAACTGTACATATGTTATGATGGTAATCTATTGTGAATCAGAAGTCCCTAGCAGTTTTATGTAATACATCTAGAAAGCTGATGGTAATGGGATATTCAGGACAGATTTTAATGGTTGATGGAGGAGGAGGAAATATTGAATTTGATGATTTTGTCGTTGAAGTTTCGTGCCTGTTGGCTTGAACTTAACTTTAGAAATTTGACATTAAGAACATACATTAGTGTAATTAAATATTATGCAGTGATAACATCGGACTTAAACTTTTTTTTCATATTTTGAAATGTTTGCAGATGACCATGAATGCAGCTGATGCTGTCATTCCTGTGGAAAGCTCCCAGCATGCTGTCTTGTTAGAGACGCAGATGACTGAAACTTTGAGTCCATGAGACACTAATCAACAGGTACATTCATGTTTAGCACTTAAACTTTACTCCTAGAATATTTCTAACTCACCGTTTGTTGCTTTTTATGCCCTTTAAGCAGGTAAATAAGCTGTTTTTTTAAATGCATCTAGAAACATAATGGTAATAGGATATTCAGGACAGATTTTAATGTTCATAGGGATGTTACTTTTGATTAAATATCACTCTATTCTGGGACATTCACGACGTCCCCATAGCACATCTTACATCAGTGTATGAATAGAAACTGTGTGTTAAGTATCTGACAACCTAGAGACTTGGTCTAGCATTGGTCCCCACAAGGAACCACAACATGGTGTGTGATATGTCCCCACTAAGCTTGTTTATTCAATATGTGTGAAAACAGGCAGAGGTTGATGGAGGAGGAGGGAATATTGAATTTGATGATTTTGTCGTTGAAGTTTCGTGCCTGTTGGCTTGAAATTAACTTTAGAAATTTGTCATTAACAACATGCATTAGTGTAACTAAATATTATGCAGTGATAACATCGGACTTAAACTTGTTTTTCATATTTTGAAATGTTTGCAGATGACCATGAATGCAGCTGATGCTGTCATTCCTGTGGAAAGCTCCCAGCATGCTGTCTTGTTAGAGACGCAGATGACTGAAACTTTGAGTCCATGAGACACTAATCAACAGGTACATTCATGTTTAGCACTTAAACTTTACTCCTAGAATATTTCTAACTCACCGTTTGTTGCTTTTTATGCCTTTTAAGCAGGTAAATAAGCTGTTTTTTTAAATGCATCTAGAAACATAATGGTAATAGGATATTCAGGACAGATTTTAATGTTCATAGGGATGTTACTTTTGATTAAATATCACTCTATTCTGGGACATTCACGACGTCCCCATAGCACATCTTACATCAGTGTATGAATAGAAACTGTGTGTTAAGTATCTGACAACCTAGAGACTTGGTCTAGCATTGGTCCCCATAAGGAACCACGACATGGTGTGTGATATGTCCCCACTAAGCTTGTTTATTCAATATGTGTGAAAACAGGCAGAGGTTGATGGAGGAGGAGGGAATATTGAATTTGATGATTTTGTCGTTGAAGTTTCGTGCCTGTTGGCTTGAATTTAACTTTAGAAATTTGTCATTAAGAACATGCATTAGTGTAACTAAATATTATGCAGTGATAACATCAGACTTAAACTTGTTTTTCATATTTTGAAATGTTTGCAGATGACCATGAATGCAGCTGATGCTGTCATTCCTGTGGAAAGCTCCCAGCATGCTGTCTTGTTAGAGACGCAGATGACTGAAACTTTGAGTCCATGAGACACTAATCAACAGGTACATTCATGTTTAGCACTTAAACTTTACTCCTAGAATATTTCTAACTCACCGTTTGTTGCTTTTTATGCCCTTTAAGCAGGTAAATAAGCTGTTTTTTTAAATGCATCTAGAAACATAATGGTAATAGGATATTCAGGACAGATTTTAATGTTCATAGGGATGTTACTTTTGATTAAATATCACTCTATTCTGGGACATTCACGACGTCCCCATAGCACATCTTACATCAGTGTATGAATAGAAACTGTGTGTTAAGTATCTGACAACCTAGAGACTTGGTCTAGCATTGGTCCCCATAAGGAACCACGACATGGTGTGTGATATGTCCCCACTAAGCTTGTTTATTCAATATGTGTGAAAACAGGCAGAGGTTGATGGAGGAGGAGGGAATATTGAATTTGATGATTTTGTCGTTGAAGTTTCGTGCCTGTTGGCTTGAATTTAACTTTAGAAATTTGTCATTAAGAACATGCATTAGTGTAACTAAATATTATGCAGTGATAACATCAGACTTAAACTTGTTTTTCATATTTTGAAATGTTTGCAGATGACCATGAATGCAGCTGATGCTGTCATTCCTGTGGAAAGCTCCCAGCATGCTGTCTTGTTAGAGACGCAGATGACTGAAACTTTGAGTCCATGAGACACTAATCAACAGGTACATTCATGTTTAGCACTTAAACTTTACTCCTAGAATATTTCTAACTCACCGTTTGTTGCTTTTTATGCCCTTTAAGCAGGTAAATAAGCTGTTTTTTTAAATGCATCTAGAAACATAATGGTAATAGGATATTCAGGACAGATTTTAGTGTTCATAGGGATGTTACTTTTGATAAAATATCACTCTATTCTGGGACATTCACGACGTCCCCATAGCACATCTTACATCATTGTATGAATAGAAACTCTGTGTTAAGTATCTGACAACCTAGAGACTTGGTCTAGCATTGGTCCCCATAAGGAACCACGACATGGTGTGTGATATGTCCCCACTAAGCTTGTTTATTCAATATGTGTGAAAACAGGCAGAGGTTGATGGAGGAGGAGGGAATATTGAATTTGATGATTTTGTCGTTGAAGTTTCGTGCCTGCTTGAATTTAACATTAGAAATTTGTCATTAAGAACATGCAGTAGTGTAAATAAATACTAAGCAGCGATTACATCAAATTGAACACTTGTTTTTCATATTTATGTTTACAATTACAATATTTTAGATGTAGTTATATTTTAAGGCTGTCTTTCAAACGTAAAAACAAGTCAATGTTTTGCCTAAACTTACAAATCGCAAATGTTGTAAATTTGATTTGTCCTAATTATTCAGATTCATTTTCAAGGTATATTTTTGTGACAGCACAAACGGTGTGTTTGCAGACAAAGGAATATTATCTATGTTCAGAAGTATAAACATTCACCAAGTCAGACTTCAGTTTCAAAATATTTTCTTGTGTTTAGACTTTTGCTGTTTTTAGGACCATTTGTTAACATCACTACTCCAAATATTTAAGTGTGTGAGAAAAGTATAATATAACATTTGCAATTAAGTGGTTGATTAACACTGTAGGAATTTTAAACAATTTTAATTGTATTGTCATAATATAGTACACTGGGATTGTGTTCAGTTCCAAGGATATATGTCTAAGTAACTTCTTTTTTGTCCTTAGATGAAAGGCACAGATGTTGAAGATTCAAATGAAGTATCCGACTCTATACAAGTTTGTATTGTTGCTTTCAGTTTTGTCTTGAGAGAACGCAAATGAGCAGGACTCAATAAAAAGTTTAAATGTATAATTTAAATGAGAGTTTGACTTCTTGAACTAACGAAATTATTTTTTACTATGAAGTAATGCAGCAAACAACACAGACAAACATGAATACTAGTTTTAGGGTTGTTGAGTATTCTGTGACTGAGAAGTACAATATTCCACAGTTTCTGGGTAGTTGACTGTGGTTAAAAATAAGAACCATGTGAGACGTAAACGAAGAAAAACCCTTACAGTGAAATTAAGGTTGAAAAGTTTGATGGGTGAGACAACAATTTAGTAATTCACTACTAAATTCTTGGTACTTAAGTGACCCCTGATATCAAGATTAAGTTAGAACAATGTCTCTAGTATAAATGATATGTAAATCATTTGATTCCCATTTTATTTGTATAACAAATTGTATGTTTACCCTGTTTTCGCTATAAATAAAAACTAAAAAAGTATATTGGTTCTGGAATAAATAATGTTATTGTGTTATGTACAGTACTTTTGTGCAGTTTGGTTTACAATGTGGAATTGTGATTCACAACAGTATCCAACCCTACTTAAGAATCCTCTTATATTACCACAAACCACGAGCACAGTAGTTCTTAAAGCTTAAAATACACATTTTCTTTAGTGAAAATATCCTAATGACACACTTTCTGCATTAATTTTGGTGCTGCTAAAGTAGATTATATCATTTGCATTATTGTGGTTTAATTCTAGTATTTGGTCTGATGCCTGTGGATAGCAGCTTGATAACTTTATGAAAAATCTATTATTAAAGACATAACCTGGTTGGTAGAGGACAGCTCCATTGCAGCTTCATAGCAGTTTACAGTACGAAGGAATCACAAAGTGGTTATATTATGCACTGCCATTGTTGTAGTGAACCTTGTGATCAAAAGAAGACAGGTAAAATGCAATAATCTGAGGATTATATCACTTAAGCTTGTTGTTTTACCATGGTCCCCATTAATCAATTGGAAATCTGTGTAAATTATGCAAATTATATTTAAATGAGGTCCCCCACAAACATGTTTACTGGATTTTACATAGGTCCCCAGTTAGCATGATGAAAACCTTACTTCATCAATTCAGATATTTGAAGTCGTGTATGAGCTAACCAACCAATGGTGAGTGTGCCTGATTTTTTTCATACCTCTAGAACCTCTAGAAAGGGTGGTCCCCGCAAGTGATGATCAGAAATTTGGTCCCCATTGCAAATGGTAAC